TGTGTACTTTCTGAAATAGGATGAAAATTTAAAAATTTTATTTTTATATCACTTACTTTCTTTAGCGTTATAACAAACAAACTTTGCAGTCCTTTTAGGAAGCGATATTTCTTCACTTGTTTCAAACTATTTTCTTTCATCATTTTCTAAAATGTTCTAAAAGTGCGTGGCAATGAACTGACATTTATTTATAATAACAATTGAATGAAGTTAGAAAAAATAGAAATAATTAATGATCCCCTTTTTTAAAATTACATCTGTAATGTGGCGCCCTAACGGGCTTCGAAAGAAAAATTTAATAATTTTATTTAAGAACCGTTTTTTTAATAATAATACTAATTATTATTAATATTATAAAAAAAATTTAAGTTCGAAAAGTTTTTTTTTTAATTTTAGCTAATTTCAGAATTTTTTTTCACTACTCTAAACCGAATCTATATTTTGAGGATAAAAAAGTACATTTTTCTGGATTGCGGTTCGACTTTTGGATCATAGGGTATAAATGAAATAGTCGACATTTTTTCAATCTCACCCTCCAGGATTAAAGTTTATTAAAAAAAGACCCTTGTTTTTTTTAATAAAACAATATTAAACCATGTCTCAAAGCCCTTCAAATTTCCCTCGCATTTTAAATGGAAAATCAATTTTTCGTAAATATGATATATAAAATCCAGAAAATCCAATATTTTTCAATGTGACCACGATATTTTTCTGAAAGAATGTTCGAAAGAATAAAATCAATTTTAACATGAATGCAATATTAATGAAAATATGTGGAAGAATACCTATAATAAACGAATAAAACAGTAAAATTGAGTAATACAGGGTGTAAAATTTATTGACTTTTTATTAAATATAATTTTCTGGAATAAAACGTATTTCTATTAAAATGTACAATTTCATTACAGTTTCTTTCATTTAAAAAAAGAATAAGAATTTTGTAGAAAATTTTATTTTAAAAAGGACTTAATTTTGTCAATGTTTCATCCTTACTTAGATATAACCATTTGTATTATTGAATTAATAATTTTAATTATTTTAATTTATTTTTAAGAAATAAAATATAAAGAAGAAAATGTTAATAAAAGAGTATTATTATATTATATTATTAAATTATTATTTAATTAAATATTAAATACAAATTATATTATTATATTGCCGCATCTGTCGTGCAAAATGTGTGGCAATATGTTCGCTTTTCATTATAATTACCATCTCAAATACACACAAACGTCGCATTATTAAACCAACATCGATCACTTTAAATGTTAATAACTTAATAAATTACCATTAATTTATTCTAAATATTGCGTTAATTTATTTTACAAATATTCATTTTTCAATCTCAATAATTAAATATAAAATATTACTCTAATTTATACATCAATTTTCGGATAACACTATCAACCAGGGTTTGAGCTGCGCACAGCCAGTAAAAAAATTTCCTATTCAATCTCCTGGCCTATGATAATTATAAATATCTCATACTTCGCATATTTCTATATGAAGATAATCATCGTATTCCAATTAAAAAAATATAGGCTTTTCTACAATTTATATCAAACTTACAAAAAAAAATGGTTCTTACAATTTAAAATTGAAATTTGAAAAGCTTTGAGGCTCGGTTTAGTATTACTATGTATTGAAAAAATGGGGGCATTTATTCGATAAATTGGATTCCTAGGGAGTGAGAGCAAAAGAATTCCGATTTTTTTCTCCATGTAAGTATTTTTGAACCACACATAGTAACCAATCTGTTTGAAACTACAAAATATTCTTTGTGGAACTTAAAAATAGAAAAAATTAATAAACAGTAATTTTTTACTCGCGTAGGCTAAAAATTCGTTTTGTAAAATTTTGGCTATAAATAAGAAAATATAAAACGTGATCCATCTCTCTTCTATAATTATCCTAATCATAATTTTAGGATCTATAAATTAAATGCTATTTCTGTCTCATACTAATTGGAATATTATAATTTAGATTATATCATTTTCAAACATAATTTTTTGATTTATCATTTGTATAATCATAGATAATAAAAATTAATAAATTAATAAAACCTGATTATGACGAAAAGCATACTACTTGTATCAGAAAACATTTGTTATTATAACAAAGATGAAAAAATTTTTTGTTGATAAAATAAATGTTATAAATAAACAAACTTAAAAAGGCGATTTTTTATAATAAATGTAATTGTATCAAACCAACAATATAAAATTTTTTGAGGATCATGTCTAGAGAGTTTTTGGGGTCGCTGATTACGAATCTGGAGTCAGTTTTAAAATATTCAAAATGGCGGATCCAATATGGCGGACTTAATTTTTTAAATTGATCAAATTCACTTGAAACTTGTTACTCGGGGGTTTTTGGGGTCGCTGATTACGAATCTGGAGTCAGTTTTAAAATATTCAAAATGGCGGATCCAATATGGCGGACTTAATTTTTTAAATTGATCAAATTCACTTGAAACTTGTTACTCGGGGGTTTTTGGGGTCGCTGATTACGAATCTGGAGTCAGTTTTAAAATATTCAAAATAGCGGATCCAATATGGCGGACTTAATTTTTTAAATTGATCAAATTCACTTGAAACTTGTTACTCGGGGGTTTTTGGGATCGCTGATTACGAATCTGGAGTCAGATTTTAAAAATTCAAAATGTCGGACTTATTTTTTTTAAAACGAACAGATTGCACAGTAATATTTAATTAAAATTACTATTAATATTCTTTTTTTTAATACTTTAGATTTTTAACAATACTCTCTTACTTTATTTCTGAAAAACGAAAAGTTTTATTAATTTTCGACGGATCGATTTAATTATTCGGCTTTACTATACGGATTGTTAGTAAAACGAAATGTTGGCTTAGGATCACTGAACCGCCAGGGGCGCCACTTTTTTTTCTCATGTAAATTTTTTACTAAACACGTTGCGTAGCAATAAACGAAAAATCTTATTTTCTTCGTGAATGCTAACTGTTGGCGTGGCACAGATTGTTGTCTGTAAAGTCATTATGTTCCTTCTTTGCAAAGCGCCGGCGCAGTCAATTCCGTTTTAATAACGTTAGTAAGGGCCAACGTTAATTACACTACTACTACTACTACAACTACCACCATCACTTTATTCACCTGAATTGGTGATGGTAACGAAAACAAATCTAAGATGTCACATCATCAAATAATTGGAACCAACACACATACACACAACGGTTAAAGAATGCAGGACACTATTTTCCGTTTATTCTATTTTAAAATATTTTAATTAAAACAACAAATATTCTATACAATAAATTTCATTTGTCAAATACTCCAATTTTTAATGAAATTGTTCGTATGTATATCCTTTCTATCTGTGATTAAAAATTCTTTTATTAAATTTTTAAAAATTCATTTGTAAAATTTTTAGAAAAACATGCTTTGTTTTAAAATTAGTGAAATAATAGTTATTTGATTTCCATTCATTTACAAAGTTTGTTCATTACATTTCGATAAATATAACATATTTGGATTTAAAAAAGATGAAAGGTATAAATTTTATTTAATTATTATTATTTTAATTTTATTTTATTTAAAAAATTTTTTTTTATATTTTTTTTATTTTTTTTTAATGTATGGTTAAACAAAATTTAACAAATATAATAATGTACAAAATGTTTGAAAGAGCGAAATAATGAACTATTGTTCTGAAAATTTTGATGAAGACTAGGGTATTATTCACTAATTAAAAATAACATATGAAATAAATAAATATGAATACTTCTTTACTATTTAATAAATTATTTATTGTATTTTTCAATTCAATATATTAATAAATAATAATTATTATTTTAAAACTAAACAATTTTTTAAGTCCACAAATATTTTAATCCAATTTAACATTTAATTTTAGATATTTTTAATATGAAAACCAATTGCATATGTATACTTTAAATTAATTTTTTAAAATTAATTTTTAATTGCATAATATATCGTGTAAACATTCACTGTTGCATATAGAGGAACTGAGGGCTGGTTATAATTCAGAAAATTGCATAAATTATGAAATCTATCAAGTGTTTTATAACCATAATTACCATTATCGATAAATCAATTGTTCCTGTAATAAATTAAAACAAAAAAGAGATTAAAAAGTTCGCCATTTTCGCATAAAAGCTGCCATGCTTAAAAAATTTGCTGATACAACTTGCCGCGTGCTGTACATGGTTATAACAGTAATTATTTAAACAGTTCTAAATTGATTGGTTAATTTTATTTATGGTTTAACTCTTATTATAGAAATATAAGATAACAATCTGAGAACTAAATAAATGATTTACAAAATATTCTATACACAATTGAAAAAAGGAATAATTTTTTTTTAAAAACGTTTGTATAAGCAATCATAAATTTAGACAAAACTGTTTTTTAAACAAAATAGCTAAAAATCATTTAACATAATTTTTTTGAACGTTGAAAATTTTTTTTGTGGACAATGACATACCATACTTCATAACACAAATATATTATGAAGTTCAAAAATTGTTTTCTTTTACTTTTATGCAGTATGCAGTTCAGATCTTTAAAAGGTATTCGATGGCATAAAAAATAAAACTAGAATCCAAAATTTATGGTTTCATATGGATTTAGATTGCATGCCATCCTGTTCATATATATATAGGTTGAAGTGAGGTTTTCACACTTTTTGGTATCCATAAACTCTATACAAATCCTAGGAAAGCTCGAATACGAAATTTTTCAATTTAGAAAAGTACCCATACACGAAAAACGACAGCACTTCGAGTCTAATAACTCCGTAAATTTTAATAAAAATAGGTTCATAAAAAAGATTGAATCTACCAGTTTTATGGTCTATGGTCTCATCGAAATGAAAAATTCCATTCTAGATAAATCAGAATAAATAATTTACCATTGTATTTCATTCACGCATTAAAATTGTAGGACATTTCAAAAAAACTAAAAAGAAATATTTATGTATTTTGTATATTGAAGACCCATACCTTTTCTGCATATGATGAATATGGCGACAATGTAAAGTCTGATTTGCCATCTCAAAGCCATTTCCGTTTAGTGACTCTTGATTTTTCAAAGAAAATACATTCTTTTTAGCGTCTCTTCTCTTTTCTTCAGCCCATGAATCATAACCCTGCGAGAGGGCTTTTGATAAAATTATCATCAAATCTCTCAACTTTTTTTATAGTGCCTCCAAGTTCTTAATTAAATCTGTGTGTGCTTCCCTTGTGTAGTTTATGATGTGACATTTATGCTCGAATGATACTTACGGCAGTCGTTAGCAACTTTCGCGAAAGGCGACGACACTTACACTTGAAAACATGTTAACTCGCATACATAACATGCACGTGCACACTAACATGATAACTTCTCTTAGCCCTCCAGTGTAAACGATACCGAAACTTTGATGGCAAAACTTTAACGTAATCACTACAAAACTTTTCGCGCAATCGTCACTTGCATTCGATCCTTGAGCGAGTTATGCACCATCACAAGAAACGAAAAGCTTTATCCGAGTTGTTACTCATGCCCTTTCTATATAGATAAAGTGTTATTTTTCTTTCCAATCTAGAGAAAAATCCCTCCACTTGTTTTCTTCAAAGCGAAAATACTTTTTCAATCTTTCACTCCTTGATGTTAAGGTTCTTAGTTCTTTATAAACGTTTCTTCTTTCCGAAGAAAATTTGTTGCACTTTCTATTTAAAAAATAGTTTAGTTACAATTTCTAACTATTTTCTTCAATAAAAATTGTCAGTTTTTGAATAATATTTCATTATTCTCATTAAGGTTTATTCAATTTTTTTAATAAATCTCGTTGATTCTTGTACAGTATGCAAATTTCTGTAAAACTTCCCTGCGATTCTTCTTCAAAATTCATAAATCACAATTTTTCTATACCTCTTGAAAAGTTAGTGAAAAATCTTCAAAATTACATTTTTGGATGTATCAAAATTATTTATTCTCATTAAACTCCACAAATGAACTTTCATCACAATTTTCGTTTGTTCTAAAAAATGTCAATTTCCATCCTCGAATTCGTCCATTTGACGAAATCCTTAATTATCATTCTCATTATTCGTCTTCGAAACTCATCCATTCGTATTTCTGTTTCACTTTTGAAGACGTAATTAAACTCCTAACCCATTTAATGAAAAAATCAAATTTCTCCAGTACACAAATTGTAAATACATTAACCTTAGCGGGAAATTAGGTAAAAATTTAAATTTCTAAACACTTTTTAATTATTTTTTTCTTCATGATATTCGGGATACATGACAAGTATTAGTCATAATTGATAAGGAATTAATTAAATCTGTGAAAATCAGTGGAAGGAGATTCTTTATCACAAAAAACTTGAAGCGTGACGTGATATATATCACTATACAGGTGCACGTCTTGATTCGGTGGCAGATTCACCCTGACTGGGGAAATTCTCATTCGTAAGAGCATGCGCGATATGAAAACCACCCCCTGAAAAGATGAACACAGACACACACTGGAAGTGAGAATGTATATTGGAGGAAAGAGCATAAGCAGAAGTGCGCTCACGCATTTTGGCGTGTGTGGAGGAACATCACGAAAACTTGACTATACCATGTAGTAGTGAGTCACTGAAAATGCGGTTGGGTTAGGTCACTAGTCAAGCGGCGAATCAAAAAATAAAATTGCAAACGAGAAAAACGTACTCGACTGTCGGGAATGCAATAATTATTCACTGGCAAAGCACTTTTATATTGAAGCCTTGTGATGGCACTGAAATGAAAACTCTAACTCCAATTACTAGGGGTTCAATAAAATTTTTTTAGAAACTATATTTGATATCTTATTAATATGTAACGAAATTCATTTTTATTATTTTAATATCCTCTGCGTGTACACTACATGAATGGTAAGATTTTGATGGGAAAAAGTAGATGTTATACGGTGCCATATGCTACTGGGTCAAATTATGTCTAACAGAGATCAAAGTTGCCCCTTAGTTCTTCGATTTTTATGAAATTTTGAGGGAATAAATGCAAATAAGAATTCCAAAAGCGATTTTTAAAATTTTTGAAAATTTACGGATTTACAGGGTTTTCAAATTTTTTTTTTATTTTGCAAACGAAATATCTCCGAGACAAATGGATGGATTTTAATAATTTTTTCAGAGATTACTTATTATTTACTAACAACTAAAAAACATTTGCAAAAAAAAAATTTTTTAATATTGTTTCAACAAATTTTTTGATGATAAGCGTATCTTTAATTTTTTCTAATAACGATATTTTGATTCCTTAGAATTTCAAGAGTAGTTTCCAAAAAAAAAATTGATGGAGACTCATAAACTTTCGGAGATATAGTATTTTTTGTCTTTGCGCGCAGGGTCTAAAATGGGTACGGAAGCAAAGACGCAGTGTGCAAGCTAACGTTCAAAATCACCTAGAACTCGTAAATTTCAATCGAATTAAATTTTTTCTATTTTAAATCAATTAGTAACATTTTATTAATAAATAAAATATATATAAGTAATAAATTATTGATAAATAAACAAAAAATTTATCTACATTGGAAATAAAATAATTTATTTATAAAACATTGCACGGAAAATTATTAAAATTATTAAATTAATTATTAATTATTATAAATTAATTATTATAATTATAAAATTATTGATAATTTAAATTATTTTAATTCTTATTTAAGAGAGAAATAATTTTACTAGCTGTTGAAAATAATTGTTATAATCAATTATTTTAAACAAATTTTCAACCAAATTAGTTGTCTTTGAATTTTTATTTTTCGACAGTTTTTATTAACATTAGGATAAACAATAAACAAGGAGATTATATTCTTAAATATTGAAAATCTATTTAATTCGTTTAAATGAAGCAAAGACTTAGTTTGCGAATCCCTGAAAAAAATCATTAAAATCCATCCATTACGAATTTAGATTCGTAATCAGCGACCCAAAACCTCCTAGATACCCCTTTTGGGAAAATTCATTTAAAATTTTGTAAAATGGGTTTTGGGAAAGAACAAAAATATGTATGAAATATTTTCACAACAACTACTTCCCAGGTGGAAAAGTTAATGTTAGTTAACGTTAGCTAATGCTGATAACGTTAGACTAAAGTTAACTAAAGTTAACTAACGTTATAATCTGATATTAGTAACCAAAAAATGTCGATAGTGACACAATTTTTCTGTAAAAACAAATGTCAGAAAATTAACAAATTATATTCCATTAGAAAGCTTATGATATTCTACGTCAAATGATATAATACACTAGAAAATTTTAATAGATTACACAAAGATTTTAGCAATCGAGAAATTTGAAGAAAAAATTATAAAATGAAACTTTTTTGACAACTTTTTAAACTCTGTCATATTTTTTAATAATTACATAAAAAATTTAAAACTTACATAGATGTCATCTTTAAAGTCCCAACTTTAATTTAAAACCAAAAAAGTTAAAAAATCTTATACGGTTCGCAAGATATCATTATGAATGTCAGAGCATTGACAGTCAAAAACCGTACAAAATTGACTAATTTAATGCATTTGTCCAAATTTGTAATGGATTTGTAATGGGTTTTTACACTAAAGAAAATATTTATAGATATTTTATAAACAATCAAAGCCATCATGTTTATAAATTTGTCAAATCAATAAATTATTATTAACCATAATAATAACAATAACAAAGAGAATTATCATCTTTAATAAATAAACAAAATAAACAAAATCCAATTTCATAAATATTACACATAAAGAAAAATATTAACAACCAAAAGAAAATATTAAATTTTAGCCAAAGTCGTATTACCCAATACAATTGGAAGGAAGGAGAGAGGAGTACTTTATACATTTCTTAACCCAAATAATTTGTTGTGCGCCAGTCCTTTCTAGGGACATTTTCTTATAAAAAGAAAATTAGAGAACTAACAAAATCAAGTATAATTTTAAGAAAACAAGTCCATTGATTCCCCAAAATTTTCAATTCAAAAATTAATAGCGAAAACAAGTTCCTAGATTCCCGAGAAACAAGACCATTGATTCTCAAACAATCGTCACTTAAAACAAACAAATTTTAAAACAATTTTAGTCAAATTATAAACTAAATCAAGTACCTAGATTACAGAAAAATAAGACCATTAATTCTCTGATGATCGTCACTTCTAAAGAAAACCAACTTTTAATTAAAACAACCTTAAAATTGACTAGAATCCAAATTCAAATACAAAACTGAATTCACAAAATTTAGAAACAAGAGCAAAAGGGGTCTAGGTTTAGAAACAGATAAAATATAAAGAATTTTGCTGGTTAGCTAGGACCAAAAGGTCAAAGGAAGCGTCGTGGTTCTAAGAAATTATACTCATCAATTTGCAAGAAAATTATAAAATATATTTTAATCCAAATATTAAATTTATACAAATTATGGGTAACTAGTAAGTTTAATATAATTCAAGTCACATTTTTACGTTAAAACTCCAATTTTACACACATGAAATATAACAAATAGATACACAAATTACACACAAATTTTACATGATTACACTCAAGTTATAAATTAAACGAAATGTTCAGCCAAATCAACAATAAAAAGGCACCTAAAAGGGTAACGAATTTGGTAACTGGGGAAAAACTAAAGGGTCATGTTAATTAATTAACAATAATAAAACAATTGCGGGGTTGGTAACATTGGTAACAGGGGAGAATTTAATTGTAAAAATTTTAAGAATACAAAGGGGAAAAAGGTAACAAAAGGCAACACGTGGTTGAACAAGAGACATTGAAATAATCAATTATTTAATAAAATTTTAAATAAAATAATTTAACAATCAATTAATTATTATTCAAATTTCCAATAAAACCATTTCAACCAAATTAATTCACAAATTTCAAATTCCAAAGCATAAAAAAAGGTCTCTTGTTCAGCCACGAGGCCGGCTGAATTAAAGTTTACAGTTTTAACAAATTTGACATAACATTTTAATTACAAAGTTTTAAACTCACAATACTTTCAAAGTGACGAATAATCCACAGAAGAATACAATTTTCCACTTAAGTAAACAATTCAAATAATTTTGAGTTTAAAGAAAATTAATCTATAAAGAACTAGAAAGATAAGGGAATTCGACGAAACACGCCTGTTATCTCGCGATCCGAATAAGATTTTTTTTTAGACTTTTTTGGCCTTAAATTAAAGATGAGACTTCAAGGATATCACCTACATAAGTTTTAAATTTTCTTTTTTTCTTTCTTCAAATTTGTCAATTGCCAAAATCTTTCTGTAATTTATTAAAATTTTCTATTGTATTTCAATTGACGTAGAATATTATAAGCTTTCCAATGGTATATTTGTTAATTTTCTGACATTTGATTTTACAGGAAAATCGTGATTTAAAGATTGGTATGTTTTTGGGCCATGTGCGCGGAGCATTAATTCGGTTGACTTCACCAAACTAAATTCAATCGAACTTATTGGTTTACCAAAAACTAAAAGGTAGTAACAATACAATTCATTTGCGACAAACGAACTTTCGGTTTAATCAACCGTACATTTTTTTCGTGTTTTAAATTTGGAATACGCGTCAGCTACGTACCTGGAAAATGGCTGAACCGAACAGTCTCAGATTTAATTAACACAAGATTTTTAATTATATTTTTTAGTGATTAATCGAAGGTTCTTTTTACAATAAATATTTTTTATTTTATAAACAATTTAAGTCGTGGATTTTGGTCAAAAATCGTTACCTCCGCTTTCAGAAGGAGCCATTTTGTCAAAAATTATTATTTTGTTTATTCCTTTGATATTTTTTTTGTCGGAAGTGGAAAATCTGTGAATTCAGATACCTGGATAAAGAATCCCAGGTTATGAGGGGATAACCACTCTTGTTTTGGTCGACCCACTAAAAACCACTCCCGTCTTAATCTGGACTATTCTTCAGCCCACGAAACTACATATTGGCGCGACTCACGCGACCCTTTCGTGCCGTTTTTCTTCTGGACTATTTATTCTTGATCCCAGCGAGAGTCTTCTTGGCCTCAAGGGCAGATCTAAAGGCCATACATTTTTTTCTGATTGTGCACGACATGCATACCTCTATGCGTCCCAACACTTCAAGCTTTTCAGCTTCTTCCATGTTCGTGACTACAACAGCAAGTTTCAGGCCACGCTTGTTGGGCCCTAGGACCGTCACTGTTCTGCTAGCTGATGGTTATTCCTAAAATTTTCACCAAGGCTTCCTGGATTTCGACTACTATGCTTGTCATCTCCTTGGTGAACTTCTCCTTACCTTGTCATCCGTCTATTTTGATAAGAAGGTCCCCTTTCTTTGTAGGTTTCTCTCCTAGTACTCTTTTTTGGCTGGCATCAGGTTCAGACTCTCTTTTAATCTTCCCCAAGACATCAGCAAAACTAA